AAAGAACTTATATATGATGGAAAAAATAACTTAAATGGAATTGATAGGACATATATATGAATAATTTCCATCTTGAACCAGTCCCTACCAAATTATTGATATTTTTTTAATGTTTTGTTAACAATTTTGTTAACTTCTAATAAAAATATAACGGTTAGGTGCTAGGCAGAGACTTTAAACTCAAAAGTGATAATTATTCATATTTAGTAAAAAAGTTTATGTTTAAATCTTATTATATATATATATATATATATATATATATATGAAATAAGTAATAATCACTTCTGACCAAAAACAATGTTTAAACAATTATTTTTAAAACATTAAATGAAAAAAGTTTATAGCACAAATACAAATAAAGAGAATTAATACACATAATTCAACAAATTATTATTACACTTGTCATATGTAAAACAAAATTAATGTTAAAAACTTCAATTCAATTCTCAAACTAATTCATAACAAATACCGTAATTCTCAACGTTACCAAATCAAATTCTTATTGATATATAATTGTCAATTCTATCATTATCCAAATATTTCATATCTAATTAGCTTTCCTCGTTTAGAGTTAGTTGGTTTTTTTAAGAAAAACAACTTCTAAAAGTTTCACAACTCAAATAATAAAAAAAAAAACTTTCAACTTATAAGTAACAACTCCACTTGATCAGATAATTAAAAACTTCCTACTCCTCTTAAGAGGAGAACTAACTATACGAGAACAGTAATATAATACCTTAAATAAAAGATGTGATCAACTATGCGTGGAATCTAATAACAAATTTTAAACCCAGAGAAAATATAAAATATTTAAAAATATATAGAAATTGAAGTTTTAAATAAGTGAAGAATGATGTATATTTTAAACCTATTTATAAGGAAAAATATATTTTGATGTCATTTTTTTAAAAGAAAAAATCACTTAATAACTTTATTTTATTGATATGATAATAATGTTAAAGGTTTTAAATCCGTATGCTTATTTATTCTTTCGGATGTGCTGTGTCGTCCGATGTCTTTACGTCCTTCTCTGCTCGTACTCCGTGTGTCCGGTCTTCCGTACTCGCTCTTCAATTTCCCCTTCAGTGCGCGGGTGGGAGACCTGCGAAAGATTCTTTCGATGCCAAAGTCAGTTGAGAGCAATGACGTTTTTCTATCGAACAGTAATAAATGTGCAGTAAATGCAACCTATCTACCAATCACCCTGGATCTGTATTTATAGTTTTCGCTATGGGCTTGGGATTAGTGAAAAGTTAATCACGGCCCAATTCATCCCAATAGCTTTTAACCTCAACTTACCTTAAACCTGGTTAATTAGCAGCATGGCAGGCCGGTCTCCCAAAGTTTGGCTTGTCAGCCAGCCAATCTCTATAGGCGACATGTTTAGCAGGCGGTATGACCAGCTGGCCTCATCAGTTTATCCGGATGACGAGGGCAAGGTTGCGTGTTTGCGGACGCACGGGCGTCCGGCTTGGTGCGCCGAACCCTCGAATATGAACCGAAAAGTAGCGTGTTTGGTCTACTATGGACGTCCGACCTATCTGACATCCAGTCCCTACTGGTACATTTATACTTGTTATTATTATATAAACAATGGACTTTAAATTGATTATTATTTTAGAAGGTAGATAGTGTAACATTCTAAATTTCTACTCAAAATCTTATGTTAATATTTAATATCATCCAGTCTTATTAGATACACACTTTTATTTATTCAGTAACCCACCCCCTCGTACACACTCTAGTCACCATCATCACAAGTAGAAGAATCCCCCTTGTTACGGAATCACTTTCGATCATCACGTTTGCTGATACCTTTCTCCGGTAGATATGTATCTCTTATACACTTACACATCTTAAAATATTTTTTAGTTATGCCTCTTAACTACATCGAATACATAAATTGTAATATGTAAAAGACTTATTATATTACCAAAATGTATATGTAAACTTAAATTCTATACAAAATTCCTATTCAGTTTACTATACATTAATTGTACTATTCTCAGGTAAAAGTGTGTCGTTTTAAATTATAACCATATAATAAAAAGTAGTAAAATAATATTAATATTAACAATGATGCCTATAATATTTACCGTACGACTAATTTTATGATACATTTAACATCATGACACAATTGGTGAAAATGATTCCTTTATTATTTTTGTATATAGTTTTATATATTATCTTTCTGATTCTATATTATAACTTATTATATATATATATATATTACTTATATATAAATCTTATATCATTATATAACCAGAAATAAAAAATTATTTAATTATTTATTTTTGAAAAGTTCAACAAAGTATTAAATAGGTTTATTGCATCTTATCTCATTGGTATTTAAATTGCGTGAGTTAATAGTTGATGAAAATAATATATTTTTTTGAACAATATATTAAGGTAGGAGCTGATAATAGTGGAAGAAACTTTTCTTGATTTCATAGTTTAACCTCGGAAATTTTCCATTCTTTATTATTCTTCTTCTTCTCTCTCTTTCTCTCTCCCTCTCTCTAGTTACGGACGCTGGTTTGCTGTCATGAAAAAAGAGCTATGTGAGTGATGTGATTCTACTGGGATTCTTCTAACCATGTTTCTACTGCTTCTAATTCTCTCTTCAAAATCTCTTCTTATTACTGTTATTGTTCTTATCAGTTCTTACCAAGGTACCAAGGAAACAAGAAACACGTTGAAAATCGAGGTTTATTCCGAGACCCATTTCCCCAGGTCGATTTTTGCACGTGGGTCATCAACCTTCAAGCCTATTTCCTCAAGGTTACATTTCCTCGTTTATTTCCAATCATTACTTTGCATGTTGAGCATTTCTCTTTCTCCGTGTTTTCACTGCCTTTTTCAATGATTTTCTACTGCTCTCATAGATTCTATTCCGTTATTTGCTTCTCTTTATATTTTTTGATGCCTCTGCCGTTGAATTATGTTAACAGCCCCCATTGCGATTGCTGGCAAGTAATTTTTTACTTCGCTCCGATTGTTTGCTTTCGTATGATTGTCCAAGGTCGTTTTTTTTTTTCTTTTTTAAAAGGAAAAGAGAAAACTGCAAGTTATTTACTGTATTCGGGTTTTTTTCAATTTGTAGATTCTTAATTCTCTATTTTTCTAGTGTTTAATCGATAGTCAATCAGGTCATGTGTTGATCTGGGTATTGAAATTGGATTTGGATATATCTAATGCCCGTTGTTCTTGTTTGGATATTGGGAGTATTTGAGTGGTTTTCTTTGCACTGATTTTCATATTTTTTTTATTGTTCAAAAGATTGTTGTTTCATTCCAGCGAGCCATTAATGAACTTATACGAAAATTATGGAATTATATATGATGTAGTAAAATATTATGGAATTTTCTTATCTGACAATAAAATGTTTCTTGTTTTTTTTTTTTTTAATTTTAATTTTTGTGTTTAATGTACGAAGGTTAACATATAGTAATTGTTGCCTCGGTTTAGTGTGTGAATGGTTTGTCTTGATGCTTTATTATGATGTTGTTCTCCTAACTTTATTGCTCATCACGACGAGAAAGAAATTGCTATTTTGCAATAGAGAAAGCGTATTATGTGGTAGTTATTTATTCAACTTACAATCCGGTATTGCAGATGGATTCTCGTTGCTTTGATGACTACAAAGAAGACGGTGAAGGTAGATATGCTGAAGGATTTGAAGACAAATTTGGAGATCCAGAAGTGCAGCCTCGCGTTGGGGAGGAATATCAAGCGGAAATTCCTCCATTGATTTCAGCACCCTATCGTTCTCTGCTTGTAAAGAGACAGAGATTCAGAAATCACGGTCAACTTGCAAGAGTGTATTTCACTAGGGCTTCCCATTCCTCTTAAGTGGGGACATTGCGAATTTGAAAGTAGTTCTGGTTACGGGAGTTTAGGATCTATCAGAAGCGAAGTGGGGCCAGCTATTTCCGAGAATGAATGTTCGGAAACTAAAGTGGAACTTTACGCTGCTTCACGAGGTGAAGAGACACATATAGGAGGGTTCTCAAATTTTGAACCATCTTCTAAAAGTGCTGAGAAAGGATAAGATGAGAGGGAAGTATCTTCTCCCTGGATTGTTGGACGATCAATCTTGGACAAATACTGAATATAGCAGTTTTCTTCTTGGCCTCTATGTCTTTGGGAAGAAGCTTAATTTTTTGAAGAGATTTGTTGGGAGTAAAAGTATGGGAGACATATTGTCTTTGTATTACGGAAAGTTTTTTTTAAGTCTAAAGAATATTGTAGATGGCAGAGTGCCGAAAGTTGAGAACTAGCGCTGTATATATGGCCGGAAATATTCACAGGATGGAGGCAACAAAATTGCTGTCAAGATTATTTTCGTACTTGCCAAGGGAGTGTCACACTAGATTGCTTGAGGTAAGCCTCTGATATATTTCGGTGTATGCCAATCACTGTCGTACAAAGTTGGGTGAAAGGGTATTACCATATAAATGTTATCCTAGCTGACTAATGTTCTTTAAGAAATCAAACTGATAGAGATTTTATTGTCATTGAAATTGCAGACTGTGTTTGCATTATAATATAATAGATAGTTATTAAAATAAATCCTTGTCAGTGGGCTGACTTTTATATATTTGTTTTAAAGCTGTATTAGTTTGATGATGAATTTTTGTTTGGAAGTTTAAATTTTTATGCTAGCCTGTGGAAAATTTGTGGGGACATTCTGTCTATCTTGTGAAATAATTTGGTATCAATTGGTATTAAGTGAACTTGGAGCTAATGAAACTGATTTAAAATAAGTACCACCCCTTTCATGAAGTTTTTTCTGCATATATTGTGAATTATCATGATGCTTTGTTGTCAAGTACCAATGGTATATAAAGAGATTTCAGCAGTTATTGGCTCTTACATTGGTCATAAAATCTGTACATGAATAAGCACGGTAACTAATCGAACAAGAATTTAGAGAAAAACTAGACACCAGCAAACGGGTGTCATAATGCAAAATTAGGTAATGTATGGATAATGGCCGATAATCAGGCCCTTCCCATTCTCTTTTATTTGTCAATTTTTCCTTTGTTGATCCTCTCTGCATTAAATAATTTGATTATGGTATTAAGGTTGAGTTTGCAACATTTAAGTTTCAGGTTACAAGTTGTCATAGTCATTCTGTTGTTTTTAAGAGATTGACCTTAAATTACAATGTTTCTATTGCCATAGAAAATATGTGCTTGATCTTATAACAATATCTCAGTTCTCAAGCATGTTTCTTATATTATTATCCCATTAAACTAAGTCCTTTAGTAGTAAATGCTTAGTGATAGTATTTAGGGCTGTCTACTTTATTTTTCAGGACTACTACATCTCATAATTAGCAGAAATGCAAGATTCCTTTCATCGAAAAATTGAACTGTCTAGCAATGAGTTAAAAACAGGATTTGCTTACACGTCATTGAGTGGTTCTTTTTTGAAGTTTAAAAAGATTGTGAACTTTTTCCCGACATCTGTGCTGAGATAAGTCTATTGATCTCAATTTGGAAAAGATTCACCAGAGTGAATTACAACAAATGTTTTTCTTCACATTCTGAGGTCGCATGTGTTGTGATAATTTATGTTCTCCTTTTTGCATAGTGGGACATTGCCTACCAAGCATTTTAGCGCCTTAAATGGCCATTTCTCAAAAAATAGTTCACATAGCTATTATGCATACGCTGCTAAACTGGTATTTCTACAAACTCATGTATTTTCTTACCATAGAACACGTCTCCTGAGTTCCTGTTATGTTACTGCAGATTTCAAGGAATTTTGGGGAGGGAAAGATGCCTTTTGAAGAATATGTGTTTTCTTTAAAGGATGCAGTTGGCATTGACTTGCTTATAGCTGCAGTAGGTATTGGAAAAGGGAAGCAAGATCTCACTGGCACTGCTGTTGAGCCAACAAAGACGAATCACATCTTCTCTGTTCGCCCTGAAATACCAATTGGCAAAGCTTGCTCCTCTCTTACATCTGCAGATATAATCAAGTTTCTCACAGGAGATTTTAGGTTGAGTAAAGCTCGATCCAGTGATCTCTTCTGGGAAGCTGTTTGGCCTCGTCTTTTAGCAAAAGGCTGGCATTCTGAACAGCCTAAAGATGTTTCTGGATCAAAGCAGTCTTTGGTTTTTCTTGTACCGGATATTAAGAAATTTTCAAGAAGGAAACTGGTAAAAGGTAACCACTACTTTGATTCTATAAGTGATGTGTTGAATAAAGTAGCATCTGACCCTGGACTTCTTGAGACTGAAAGTCAAGCAACTGAGTGCAGTGTAGATAGGGAAAAAACTCCTGACAAACGAGACCTGGAGGGGGTGTCATGTGGGGAACAAGCTCAGTACCTTCAATCTCATCGTTCAAAGTGCAATCAAGATGTCAGGAAATTTACAATTGTAGATACCAGCATGGTTCATGATATGAATCAACGTTAATGTCATACAGATGAGAAGCTTACCTTCTGAAAACTACAAATATATCTACCATCTCAAGCTGCTCTAGTGAATCTGAGAAAGATACATCTTACGAATCAAAAGATCAGGTTCGACAATATAGAGCTTTGAATGCTATCAAGGGTCATGTTGAGCAAGATAATGCTTCAAGTGCTATTGAAAACCAGGTTGAAAAATCTCATGTGTCAAGCTCTATTGATGAATGGGTCGAACAAGCTCATGCTTCAAGCCATATTGAAGACCGGGTTGAACAAGCTCATGCTTTGAGCCCTATTAAAGATCGGGTTGAACAAGCTCATGCTTCAAGCCTTATTGATGATCGGGTTGAACAAGCTCATGCTTCAAGCCTTATTGACGATCGGGTTGAAAAGCTCATGCTTCAGGCCCTATAAAAGATCGATTTGAACAAGATCATGCTTCAGGCCCTATAAAAGATCGGATTGAACAAGCTCATGCATCAAGCTCTGTTGAAGATCAATTTAAAAAGCGAACTCTTTCTATCCTATTCAAGGTCAGTTGAACAAGGTAATTCCTCCCCTATTGAAGAATCTCTATAAGGGGTTGTGTATACTCATCAAATTGTTACTTGCGTTCCTGAGGCCCTCAGCATCAATAAAGAAGGAAAATATCATAGATTTCATTCTGATTTGCATAATGGTGAGCATTTAAGGGAGATCAATGAGCATTCCCATACACAAAAGATGACATCCGATTGCACAATTCCCTGCATCACGGCAATGCAGAAGTTAAGAGCTTGTAACCATCAAGAAAATAGTCACTGCACTAAAAGTACTTCTGTGGATAGAAACTTTGATTTAAATGAACCAATCTCACCATCAAATCTGCAAGAAGCATCTGAGGACATGGTTTTTTCTATGGGTTCTGGAAATTTGTCTTTACCAAATTATCTGGCTAAAGGCAGTCCGTCGAACATTAGCCATGAAGGTAGTGTCAGCGAGAACCGCCTGGTTAGAGAAGAGTCTGCAGAAAATTCTGAAACCAGGATGTTGATTGACTTGAATTTTCCTCAAGTTGCCCCTGATTTAGGACTTGAAATGGAAATACCATCCTCTGGGGTAACAGTGCAAAATGACAATCAATTTGCAAATGCATCATCTTCTCCATCTGAGATAACACAATTCAATGCCACACAGGAGTTTCCTGATGGAAACAACGAGCAGCAGTCTATCCTTGTCAACCGTCGTCAGAGCACTAGGAACCGACCGTTGACCACAAAAGCATTGGAAGCACTTGAGTACAGATTTATCAACTCAAAGAGGAAAAGAAAGAACACAGAATGTTCAGACAATTAATCCAAAGTCCAAGTGTGTTCGTGTAGTAGCGCCACAATTGTTAGTGGCACCTGTGATGATGCATTGAGGATTCTATGGTGGACACAAGAGCAGAGGAGGAGAATATTATCCAGGCATATAGTTATGGCATCGATCTTAATAGGGGCCCTCCATAATTTGTGTAAAAGGTTAGGCTAACTTCTTCTTCAGGGGCCATCCATTTCATAAATATTTCTAGTCTTCACTCTCAAACTGCTTAATTTCATTGTTTCAAATGTATCCATAAATCATAAATATACATGAAGATCAAAGTCATCTGTCCATATTCACTTATTCTCTTTATCTTTTTTCAAGAATGTTACTGATTTGACCAATGATTTGAAGATGGATTATTGATGGGAAAGCTCTAAGGATCAAAATGGATGTAAGGGCCAGTTTTTATCTTTATATCACTTTTTTCTAAAAAGTATATATTTTTGCTTAGTTAATTTTAGTTTGGGATAGAGTCCAAATATTTTTTTCGTTTTCTCATCTGAGTTTTAATAGAAAAAAATCGTTAAAAGAAATTATTGGTAAAGTTTTTTATGAAAAGAAACACAAGGTATTTATTAGAGGAATCCCAAGATAAAACAAACTGGTTGTTATAATGTGAATCTTTAATACCAAGCAACATGTCTTTTCAGAGTTTTGTGATATTTATTAGCGTCTTCAATGTTCAATGACCAGATTTAAACCTACTTTGTTTAGTGTGAGAGGCCAATAATTAGTATTATGTGAACACCTATGTTAAATATTTAATTAAATATAAAAAGTGATCACATCAATATCTGTGCTAAATATTAAATATCAATAGTTAATCAATAAACTAAAATTCACACACACACACACACAGAAAATAACAAAATTGAATTTCAATGATAATCAAGAAACTCAAAATACAACTAAGTTTTTATTTTCTGTATCTTCTTCATTACATTTATGTCAAAGTTAAACTGCTTAAATGGTATGAACTCTATGAATAAAGAAACTGGGTGTGTGTTGCTTATTTTAGGTACCAAACTGAAAGCATGGTTGTATTGTCGTTGTAATTGACAGCTTGAATTCACATGTCTCTTCAATACATAAATAAGTAAGAAAAAAAATACATTTCATGTTAAAAAAAAAAACGTATTTAACTTATTACTACCCACAAGTATAGTTTTACAAAAATAAAAAAGGACACTTAGAAAAAATTACAGTCATGAGATAAGATGCCACTAGTTCACTGTTATAGTTTTTCATGCTAAAATGTGTAATTTAATTTAATGAAAAATACCATCACTATACTAATACCACCGTCTTTTTAAGTTAATCAAAATATAAATATTGTTTTTCTTTCTTAAAAATAGTGATTATTATATTTTCTGGCGTGATGAATATTACTTTAGTCTATTTGACTTAATATTGTTAAAAAAATATTCTTATAAGATTTTAAAATAATTTTCTACTGAAATGTATGCTAAAACATTTTTAATTTACTATACATACACATGTATATTCATATAAATCATATTCGTGCATATATTTGAATTAAATTTCAAACTATATTTAATAAATTAATATTTAAAGCAAATTACAGTATGTTTTAGTGTATACACAATTTTTATTTTTTCTTAGATACTAATTTTTTTAATAATAACTTAATATGTATTATTTTAATATGCAAATACTAGCATTACATTTGTTAAGTTCAGTAAATGTGTTATATTTAATATTTAATTAAAATTAATTATTCAATATATGAAAATATATATATATATATATATTATTATATAATCATATAATTGATAACTATATAAGTTAAACAGTTTAATTCAAATACTTTTATTTTTTTTAAATATATTTGGGACTAATATATAAAAATATAGAACCAAATTTAAAGTGATTCATAATGTTTAATTAAAATAATAATTAAATATTAATTAGGAGGTAACTTTTATATACAAATATAAACAGAAAATACACAGTTGATTAAGCTATTAAAATATTTGTTGTGAATTATTTTTTTAAGAAATAATGGAAAAGTATAATATTAAATGTCTCTCTCT